ATTCATTAACTAATTTTAAAAAAATGAAGTCTCTTAGCGCCAATTGGTCAATTTTCCATGTCCTCCAAATCCACACACTATGACTATTTTCAACTGCCATAATGTGACATTAAGAGATGGTTTTACCTGTTGAACTTTATTGGCTATTTACCCGTTCGCCATTCAAGGACACTATTCATTTTTTTCTGAGATGAACTACACCGTGCTGATAATTCATTACATGAAAAAAGAAACCTAATAACGATGAGAGAAAACTTATGACAAACTTGAAAGCATTGATTACAAGCCGAGCTCAAAACTCACCATCTCTCTTACTCTATATATGTCTATTTTAATTTAGGAAAGAGATGACTGAAACATTAAAATGTCTGAGTCCATTTCCATAACACGAGAAGGGAACAAGATGTTTATTAGAGAGCATGAAATAGTTTGCTATGACGCAAAGTGATGAGATACGTACCCGCTTTAAGGCCAGTTGCTGAGATGGCTGTCGGTATGGCGAAGACGCCCAAAGCAGTCCAAATCAGCAAAATGATCGCGGAGTTCATTATGAATCTGTAAGACAATGATGTGGATCAGCCTAATTCTTCTTTAGTAACAGAAATTTCTAACAAGAGGGAAAACTTATGAGAAACTTAAAAGCATTGCTTACAAGCCAGGAAGAAACGAAAAGAACTCATAGTACTCCAGCCGCCGAGCTACAAAACGATAATTTTGGAATGATTGTGTTTTCGCTCTAGAGGAGGTCAATATAAAGGTCATTGCATAGCGACATCAGCAGTTTAGCCCGACACTTGTGCCGGCTCTTTTTGACAATGTCAACTGAGGACAGTGATCATGAATGCTTTCTGCAAAGCGAGTTACAATCATGATGAGTCTGAAAAAATAAAAAAAACCTTATAAGACGGCTAAGTGTTGTCTTTTTAGAGGGTAGAAAAATTCGACAACAGTTTTAGCGCTTGCACCTTTCTTTAAGGCCCCTACCAAACTTCTGCGTTTTCGTTTGAAAACACAAACCTTTTCACGTGTTTTTGCCGGTCATCCACTCTAAAACACCCGAAAACGTTGATAAAAACGGAGACTTTCGAAAAGAGTTTCGAAAAGAGTTTTAAAAATGGAGCGTTTTGAAAAGGCATCGTTTTTAAAAAGCTCCGTTTTAGAGTTGACAAGTGAAAGGGTGACGAAGAAATTTGCAGATGTGATCGGTTTTAATCCTAAACGTAGCATCTGGCCGAGATGGCGGATAACCTTGTCATGTTGTACTTGCTGTTTTCGAGCTATGTTCATGTCTTCAGCTTAACATCGCCATGTGCAATGTTAAAGCGTACGTACGACGAAGTCGGACAGGGATCATGAAAAGATTGGTCTCTTTATCAATTTCAGGTCCAACTCGTTTCATCGTTTCATCGTTTCATCATGGCCACGACTTACGACAACATATTCTCTATGATAGAAAAAGAAGCGCGAAAGAAAAATTGTTCATTTACCATCGGACGGTCTCATATAGTTAAGCTCAAAGCTATCTTTAAGGAAGCTTTCGGTAAAGTTTTTATTAAAAGGATTATCTTTAATTTCTAAAATGTTTTGTGACATAAATAGAGAGGAGTACGCCGTGATGCGAAGATATAAGTGTTAAGTTGAGTGGTAGAAACAAAAGTTAAAGCAAAAGCGCGGTAACTCATAATTTTTTTGTTTTCAACGGGGTGTAGATAGAGCCGGGCCGCAGCCAAAGATTGCTTTGAGCTTAACTATATGAGACCGTCCAATGGCAAATGAACAATTTTTCTGCTTCAAGCAGTTTAAATTTACTGAAGATGGTTTAAATCTGCCGCTCGTATGATGATCGGAAATTTTGAAAAATCCCGCGTGTATTTTGAAGCTGTTTCCGCCATTGCTCCAAAGTAGTCATATACGGTCATTGTTAATAGTTTACCAAAGCTTGCTGTAATCTAAGCTGATCCGCTTTTCTTGATACGTTAATCCTTTCCAGTAAAACGAAATTACCGAGATTTTATGGAGGAAAGATCTTCGTTACGCGAAGGGAAAAGCTACTGCAGCGCAAGAAAAACCCAAAATGCGAACAACAAGCGAAAGGAAAGTATAGAGACCAGTCAAATGATTCATCACTATCAACTTGTTTTCTTCACGACTGGGCTGGTTGTGATATGTAAAGTAATCGGCCAAAAAAAACATATTGCATTCAGTTAGCGCTGTCGGACTTAACTTAAATTAAAGAACCTGCAAAATGCCCTAACAAACAAATCGAAACACTTCAGCCGCATGTAAACATATAATCACATTCAAAGTGAAAATACAACTATTTTTTAGTGGATGGAAGGTCATTTTTAAACTTCCTGCATCTCAAAGGAAGATTTCGTTTTGTTGAGTAGGGCAAAACATAGACCTCTTTACTGAACGGGAAATCTTTCGACAGCTTAAGCTTGTCATAGCATTGGTCAGGACTCAGGCAGCACCTTAAGATAAGCCTATCTCTATAACTTTCATTTACAACAGAGCTTTTCTTCTCTTCAAATACCAGTTTGAAAATACGAGGTCACCACTTAACAAATATTCGCTGAAGGCGAAGGCCTACTCTGGGACCTTAAGTCGCCGTAACTTTAGGCGACTTTGCGCGATTTAAGGCGACTTAAGGCGACTTTAGCAAAATTGGCACAAAAAATTTTGCGACTTTAGGCGATTTAAGGCGACTTAAAGCGATTTTATTTGACTGAAGCAATAAAACCGAAGTTAGCAACAGTCTCTCCATAAACTTTAAAATTGTCTACAGAATCCCTTGCAATAAACACAACAGTCGTTTCGGTTACTTTGGTATGCTCATAAGTCACCACAGTCTAAAATATCCAGATTTCAAATCAATTTAGCTAAAAATGTTCAGACAGAAT